AGTTCATTAGAATGTGATGTAAAAGAATCAACCAAGATCCCTCTCTGTATACTTCATCTGTACCTGCTGAAATCCAGGCACACTAGGCCCATCTCAAATGCAACCACCTTCTAGGGAGATTTTCCCAAACCCCAGACTAGATGCACTCTCCCCCTTCTCCCGAAACTCTGAATACTTTAAATCCTTCTGATGCTTTTGACAAACTTCCTTGTAGAAGGTGCACCTTCTTACTGCATCTTGTCTTCTACGTGATTTAAACTCCTGGTATTCACATCCTTCTGTAACCCCCTACCTTCAAGAGAAGACTGGACTTAGTGGCTGGTTTCAAAAACAGAAGATGCCAAAATGATGGCATGTCACCTTCAGGAGGAGATTAGGTGACAAAAGGACCATCCTCTCTTGCTATCTTTCTTGGAGTTCTTGCTCTTGGGGAAGAAAGCTACCTTGTCATGAGTAGCCCTTAGAAGCGGCTCACATGGTAGGAAATAGATGCAACCAACAACCACATGGGTGAGTTTGGAAGTGAATTCTCCTCCAGGCGAGCCTTTGTATGAGACCGCAGCCCCAGCCTCCACTTGACAGTAGCCTTGTGAGAGATCCTGAGCTGGAAGCATCCAGCTGAGCCATGCCCAGATTCCTGACCCATAGCAATTATGAGACAATAAATGTCTGCTGTCTTAAAATACTAGGTTTAGAACAACTTGCTATACAGTTATAGATAACTAATACAATCTCTTAAGAGCTAGAATAGTATACTTACCATGGCAGTCTTTACCACCTCAAGAAGTTTATAGTCTAACAGAGGAGGGGGAGGACATCAGACATTTAACAAGTTACTACCCAAACATATGTAGACAACTGTGATAAGACTTGGGGAAGTGATGGCTGAGCTAAGCCTTGAAGGAAGAGCAAGGGGGAGTGAAGCAAAGAGGAAGAAAAAGGGGGGCATGTATAAAGGCCCTGGAGCAGGTGTGGGCATGAAAGCAAGCCAGGCGACTGGGGTACAGGAGGAGAGGTATGTGAGGTGGGCTGCACGATTAGGTGGGAGTGCGCCATACCGAGGGTTCTGTCAGCTAGGGTCATCAGGAGCCATCACCACATTCGGTTGCGGGGGGGTGTGCACATGAAGGGGTGACTTGGCCAGAGCTACGTTTCTGGAGGATCATTCTCCCTGCCTTATGCAGAATGGGTTACAGGGCAGGAAGCATGAAAGGAGGCAGACTTATGAGAAGGCTAAATCACAGCAGTCCAGACAAAACAGCCTAATAGTGCACTGTAATGATTTTGGTGGAAACAGAAGTAAACACATTAAAGAGCTATTCAAGAAAAAAGGTGAACTGGCCTTCGGACAGGTCTGGACACGGGGGCATGCCAAGAAGGATGTGAAAGGGGACTCCTGCATCTCTGCTGCATTCCTGGGAGTGGTGGCAGAGTTTCTGCTGAGGCCAAGGGCACTAAAGGAAGGCCTAGAGTCTTCTCCCAATGGGGAAGTGGATAAGCTTTTAATCAAGGAGGCTTTGTGCAATCTGTTTCACTGACTCTTTCCTTAAGGGGCATTTCTGTTCAGCTCTCGGTTCTCTGCAGTATCCCAGATAGGAGATACATTACAGCAAACCCACTAGCTTCAGAATCTACTTAATGCATCCAGTAATGTATGAATTTCTACCCGTGAGGCCAATCCAACCAATGTCAACTACACAACTAGGAAAAGCAATTTAATTATTACAGCCGTGAAAGTTGTTGCCTTCTGGTTTCTCCATTCACAGGCAAGGCAAGGCCTGCTGGTGAACATTAAGTGGCCTCTGCTTCACGTTAACAATGAAAGGAACGTTTATTAGATACCTCCTGTCTACCCGGAGGTACTTTGTGGGCCCCTTTGCATACATTATCTCTAATCTCATCAGTAAAATACTGTAAAATTTCTATAAATGAGGAAGCTCAGAGAAGCAAAGTAACTTCCCACGGTAACAGCACGGTAAGTTGAAGGCAGGATTGGAACCCAGGTCTGCTAGACTAAAAGCTGTATTCTTCCTCTCGCGCCACCTCTTCACTTCAGTAGGGCCTTCGTTAGGGGCTGGTTTACCCAACCAGCCAGTCACCCACATGCTCGATCCACTTCAGTTGTTCAGACCGCTGAAAATAGCAGATCAATAACTTTGACTGTTTTCCTACTGTTCTGTGACCAACCGACACCGATTAGCAACAGAACCCCAATTAACTAAGCCCGCAGCTCAGGAGGTGACAACCTGTGCACCTTAAATTAGCTGAGCACAACACGTTTTCCATGATGAGTGGGCAACAGCTACCACCCAGGGCTCCTCCAAAGAGAGAATGAACTGGAGACTCCACATGCATTCAATTTGTTGAAGGAAAATGCTGTGCCTTTTTAGAGCATGCTTTTAGAAAGTAGTGAAGTAGAAAGAATGTAGGAAAAACGGGTCTGGCACATTATTTTAAGCAAGATAAGCTTAAAATAATGAGGTTTTCAGGTGTATAAACATGTGAAGAGCTGCTTTCAGGGTCAAGTGCAGGCTCTGAAGTTCTCTGAATCCTACTCAGAGGTCTACAGGGCAGAGAACTCCAGGGATGCTGCCGTTAACAGGTCGAGGAGGGAGAGGCCCCCAAAACACCACGCTCAGAGAAGGGGCAGCACATAGCCACCACCCCACAACCCCAAGACTTCAGCCACAGTGCTTCCCTCACCATGTGTCAATCATTCCAGATGGCCATGCCCACAACCCCATAAAAGAACCAGGGTCTATTTCAACCGTAATATTAAGACATGTAATCACAAGTCCAAGAGCACAGTACTTTCTTCCCACCACTCCACTTCGTGTGCCTCCCTGATGGTACGGGATACACTGGGCAATACCAAGCCATTCTATCACCCCAGTGTGAGTGAGTGGTCATCCCTTGACTGCATCGCCCAAAGCATACCCTTCCCATTGACCTCCCATTGCCATTATGAAAAAGAGAGTCCAGGATATTGCAAGGACAGAAAAAGGGGTCTCAGAGTTCAGTGTCTTCAGGGGATCTTGCACTGGGATGAACGGAAGAGATAAAAGGGAGGGCAAGAAGAGTAGAACGCCTGCCCTACTGGCACCTACCTGGTTAAGCTGTGAGACCCTAGCCCAGATGGACTGTTTATTTTCTCAACTATACAATGAGCCTCGATTTTTCTCATCTATGCAATATGGATCATAACAATGCTACCTCAGAAGGGAGGTGACGAGACGACACAAGATAAAGACGAAATACAAGGAACCAAAAGCCCCTGCTCACTGGTTGGCACCGTTGTCGCCATTTACCACTCTACTGCCCTACCCCGGGAACCTGGTAGGAGAAGGCTGCTTAGAGGGGCATCTTCCCACCTTTGTGCTGTCAAGTATCTCTTCCCTGCTCCCCTCCAGGTACCCTGTATTTTGAAGGATGTTGTCAACCTCACTGCATTAAGTATTCATTGCTTCCCTATTTTATTCACCTAAGACACAGAAGCATGATTAATATTTACAAAGTAATGTAGAAAAGTCAGTAAAATAGACTTCATCAAAATTTAAAAATCTGTCATAGGGCACTATCAAAAAAGGAAAAAATCAAACTCAGAGAATGGGAGAACATAATTTCAAGTCATATATCTGAAAAGGGCTTACTATCTAGAGTATATAAAGAATGCTTAAAACTCAACAATAGAAGGAAAATTTTAAAAATAGGCAAAGGATCTGAATAGGAGGAAGAGAGAAAAATGACCAACACACCCATGAAAAGACGCTCAGCATGATTCATCACCAGGGAAATGCAAACCAAAGCCGTGATGCGATACCACCTCACATGCACTAGCATTGCTAAAATAAAAAAGACAGACACTAACAAGTGTCAGCAAGTATACAGGGAAATGACAACCCTCACATACTACTGGTCAGACTGCAAAATGCGGGAGCCACCGTGGAAAACACTTTTCCAGTTCCTCGAAGAATTCAGTTAGTAATATGACCCAGCAATTCTAAGAACTGAAACAGATTCAAGAAAATTATAATGGAAATTAGACATATATCCAAGAAACTTGAAAATATACGTTCATATGAAAACCAGTATATAACATATGTAGAAATATTATCCATGAAAGTCAAGGGTAGAAACAACCCCAGTGTCCAACAAACAGAAAAGCTGATAGACAAAATACAGTCTATTCACACAGTGGAATATTATGCAGTCATAAACAGGGATGAAGTATGGATACATGCTGCAACATGGATGAAACTTGAAAATATGCTAAGTGAAAAAAGCCAGACACAAAAGGCTACATACTGTGTGTTTCCATTTACACAAACTGTCCAGAACAGGCCAATCTATAGAGACAGAAAGAAGATGAATGGTTTCCACAGGCATGGGGGAAAGGAGAATGGAGTTACTATTTCACGTGGGTGAGGTTTCTCCTCGAGGTGATGAAGATGTTCTGGAATTCGATAGGGATGATGCTTGCACAGCTCTGTGAATATACTAAAAATCACTGAATTGTACATTTTAAAAGGGTAAAATTGATGGTATGTGAAATCAATCTGTCTCAGTTATATATAATACATAGTAACATATATTATGTATTATAAGCTGAGTGAGATGTATTAACTGAGTGAATGTGATATCTGCAGCAAACCAGTGTGACATGCTGACGGCAACAAAGTTTAGCTAGAAGAGCCCGAGATGTGAAGTTTGGATTCTGGGTCTGCCCCTTGGCCAACTCTGTGTCCACCATTGGTTGAGTGAATCCCTCTGCACCATGGTGTTCATCTATAAGATGAGACGGTATCATTAGGTGGTCATAAAGATCAAATGGAATAATGTACATAAGACGATGAGCAAATTGCATCCTGCGGTCAGGTTTTTATGCATTCTGGTTACCGTCCTCAGCTCCCTGATGGAAGGAAGGAGAATGCCACTGTCCCATTCAGAGTGAGAAGGAGCCACCGCCCAGCCCGTCCTTCCCTCTGGCTGCCACCCCTTACCTCAGGTGTCAGGGCGTTGTTATCAGAGGTCTGACTGGACAGCAGGATGTGCGTGAACCCTTCTTCCTTCCGCACGACGATGTCTCGAAACCGACAGTTGCTTTCATTCTGGCGGACACTGTACCTGAGCCTCTTGTCAAAGACGTAGTCCTTCTCCGCTTCCAGCTTCCTCTTCACCGGACTGTGCAGGTTCAATCCCCCGTTGGTCAGAGCAGAGCCTTCCAAAACCAGATAAACAATGTAAGAAACTGACACGGGCCACATTCCTAGAAGGATGTGCTCAGAGGACACTGGGATTTTCAACGGAAGGGCTTGTATGTGGCTGGGACACACCACCTCCTCCCCTGTGCCACCCTGTATTCTAGGAAGAGGGAAGATAAAGAGACGGGTGGGATTCCTACATTTCCAAATTCAGAAGCAGGCCTACAGGGCTCTTTGTGAAGGTGCGGTCCTCTGCTCTTTTCTCCCACACATTAGATTCTGTTCAGATTCCTTGGCCACAGGGAATCCACTGACCACCCTGAGAGGCAGCCCACTCCACTGGTGGATGTCTATGAATGATAGGGAATCATCAATAAGAGCAAGACCAGCAGCTAACCTTTATCCAACCCATACTATGTGGTAAGCACATCACAGGCATGATTTTATTTAATATGAGAAACAGAGATTGGGCTCTGGGACCCCCCAGTGCTTTGCTGGGGGCTGCCTTGAGATGAGAGAGGTGAGCACCAAGCAGGCAATGTCCTTAGGTCTCTCTCTCTTCCTCTCCCAAATCAATTACAATGACTTTGCATTTTTCTGTTTTACATATTAGCATTCACAAGCGGCCTGAAAGCGCCCCGATGAAAAGGTCTGAAAACTAGTAACAGAATGAACCAGCTGTGTAACGGTTCTCAGTCTCCAGCCTCACACAGGATTCATCAGGAACTCTGGGATGTTCTAAAGAAGCAAGGCCAAACCAACACCCCTAAACCTCCATTGGAAGCAGGTCCAGGAAGACGCTCAAATGTGTATTTTCAAAACCACCTCCATCCAAAAAAAAAAAAAAGAGCAAGAGAAAAAGAGAGAAGGAAGACACTAATGACCAGTATCAGAAATGAAAGAGGGGGTGTCACTATTGATCTCATAACATTAAAAAGAGAGTAAAGAAATACTAAGAAAAATGGCTCTGCCCATTATTTCATAACTTAGATGAAATTTCTTGGAATGAATTCTAAGCAATTTTCCTTGCATCCACTCAAGTGTTCTGGAATCTTCTGACTGTTCTAAATCAGTGCTGAAGACAGGAAAAGTAACCCCAAGAATGTGGGGCAAAGGAAGCCAAGTGCCCAAGACAGACTGGGAATAGTCCCTGGCTCAAGACAGCCCAGGCAGAATCTGCCCTTAACAACTGGACATGCCAGGAAAGAACCCCACCAGGTAGCTTAGAAGGCCCCTCGGTAGGTGTGAGGGTGTGAGGCAGGGGGAGGGACACCAGTAGTGCTGCAGGAGGTTCTCTGGCAATATGGCACAACATACACTCGCTAGGACACTATGCTTTCATCACAACCCATTATTGTTGGCTGAGGGTTGCTTAAAAAACTGAGCAGACTTTAATAATTTGTAGACTTCCCTTAAAGTCCAGACTCCCGGCTTCTCTTTACAAAAAAAAAATAATAGAACTGCGTATTAGCAGCTCTGGGACCGTATTCCAATATGGTGACAACTGGCAGGATTTCAACAGCCACGACCTCTCCTGGGTTTGCCATAATCCCCACTACTCCCTGTCGTGTCCCCAGAGCTGAGGGTTGACTGCTGTTTATCATCACCTGTGTGCTGTCAGTTTTCTTATGGCATAGAAATCTCTCTTTGTACTCAAAAGAAAAGCAACAAAACAAAATAAAACAGAAGATAGAAAGCCACATACTTCAAGAAAATTAGGGAAAGGTCCATCACCCATCCATGTTCCTTATTTGCACGAACCACCTCATAGTGAGGATCTCAGCATCTACCATCTGAAGAGTCTGGGCTCAAATCGCAGCCTGGCCGCTTCTCAACAGTGAGGCCTGGGGTATGTATTTAACCTCTCCAAGCCTCAGATTTCTCATTATTAAAAGGAGGAAACAATACCTATAGTTCATAGGGCTGGGGAATGGATTTAAGAAGATATCGGGCCGGGTGCAGTGGTTCATGCCTGTAATGCCAGCACTTTGCGAGGCCGAGGTGGGTGGATCACGAGGTCAAGAGATCGAGACCACCCTGGCCAACATGGTGAAACCCCATCTCTACTAAAAATACAAAAATTAGCTGGGCGTGGTGGCGTGCACCTGTAGTCCCAGCTACTCGGGACGCTAAGGCAGGAGAATTGCTTGAACCTGGGAGGTGGACGTTGCAGTGAGCCAAGATTGTGCCACTGCACTCCAGCCTGGCATCTGGTGACAAGAATGAGACTCTGTCTCAAAAAAAAAAAAAGAAGATATTACATACAAACAGCTAGACAGCTAGACACAAGGCCTGGACCTATTATATGCTTAATAAATGCTGCGGATTGTCGATACTGATGCTGTCATGAATAGTAGTAGTGGTGGTGGGTAGTCGCTGGTGGGAATGGGGTGGCAGTTTGCACCCTGGAGTGTCCCTTCTAGCATCAGGATTGGGCTTTGTCCCCCTCCCAACTTCTGAGGCCAGAGAAGCACATGCCAGACCAAAGAGTCACAGCCACAACCAAAAGCTACCCTTACAGACCACTCTAGAACCACTGAGTAGATGCCCTAGTTTCTTTGCCTTGCAGCCACGTACACCCTGCCGAGTCTCATCTCCGCTTCCTGTACACACCTATTTATGGCTTCCTCTGGTCCTTCTGATTGGAACCCTTTCTACCTCTGCCCACCTGGAAGCCCCTACTCACATATGAAGACTAATTAGACATCAGTATCACAAAACCTTTTCTGAATTCTCAGGCAGGATTCTTGAATCCATTCTATATTTGCTCATTTTCTCCACTAAACCATGAGCTCTTCAAAACCAGGGCACAGTGAACTCTGTGACTTCAGCCTCCACCCTAGTGACCAGCACGTTACACACAGAAAACACCAGTTCAACCATGAAGCCAGTTTACACTCAGAGGTAATTCTGGGAAGATTAAAAAATAACAATAATAATAAAAGAAAAAGGTACAGGCTTAGGAGCCAGAGGCCTAGGTCTGTACCCTGGGTCTGCCTTTTAAAACTCAGGTGTTGCAATGAGATACCATCTCATGCCAGTTAGAATGGCAATCATTAAAAAATAAAGAGACAACAGATGCTGAAGAGGATGTGGAGAAATAGGAATACTTTCACACTGTTGGTGGGAGTGTACATTAGTTCAACCACTGTGGAAGACAGTGTGGCGATTCTTCAAGGATCTAGAAATAGAAATACCATTTGACCCAGCAATCCCATTATTGGATATATACCCAAAGGATTATAAATCACTGTATTATAAAGACACATGCACACATGTTAATTGTGGCACCGTTCACAATAGCAAAGACTTGGAACCAACCCAAATGTCCATCAGTGACAGACTGGATAAAAAAAAAATGTGGCACCTATACAGCATAGAATACTATGCAGCCATAAAAAGGATGAGTTCGTGTCCTTTGCAGGGACGTGAATAAAGCTGGAAACCATTATTTTCAGCAAACTGACACAAAAACAGAAAACCAAACACCACATGTTCTCTCATAAGTGGGTGTTCAACAGTGAGAACACATGAAGAGAGGGAGAGTAACATCACACGCAGGGGCCTGTCACAGGGTGGGGACTAAGGGAGGGATAGCAGAAGGTAGAGGAATAGGGAAGAGAGAGCATTAGGAGAAATACCTAATGTAGATGACGGAGTGATGGGTGCAGCAAACCACCCTGGCACGTGTATACCAGTGTAACAAATCTGCATGTTCTGCACATGTACCCCAGAACTTAAAGTATAATAATAAAAAAATAAGAAAGAAAAACAACTGCTGCTTAACTAGTAAGCAAGTACTGCAAGGTCACTGGATACAAGGGTAACAGACAAAAGTCAGTTACTTTTGCACATACCAACAATGAGCAACTGGAACTTAACGGTTTATTTTTTTTTAAATACCAAGTTTTGGTATTCAATAGCATGACAGAGAAATCAAACTTAACAATAGCTTATTGTATATTTCCAAGTAGCTAGAAGAGAAGAACTGAAATGTTCACAGAACAAAGAAAAGGCAAATGTTTGAGGTGATGGATATCTCAATTACCCTGTATCATTACACATAGTATGCAGTTTTCTATCACATGTATTCCAAAAATATGTACAACTATTATATGTAAATTTTTAAGCTTTAAAAAATATTGTTTATGACACCATCCAAAATATGAAATACTTAGATATAAATCTAACAAAATATGTACAGGATTCATATGTGAAAAATTATAAAACTCTGATGAAACAACTCAAAGAGAATCTAAGTAAATAGACTACAGTGGTGCTATCACAGCTCACTGCAGCCTCAACCTCCCTGCAGCCTCAACCTCCCAGGCTCAAACTATATTCCCTCCTCAGCCTCCCAAGTAGCTGGGACTACAGGCATGTGCCAATACACCTGGCTAATTTTATTATTTTTTATCGAGACAGGGTCTCCCTATGTTGCCTAGGCTGTTCTCAAATTCCTAACCCTAAGCAATCCTCCCACCTCAGCCTCCCAAAGTGCTAGGATTGCAGGTGTGTGCTACCACAATTGGCCAAGACTCAGTATTTTTAATATGTCATTTCTTCCCAACTTGATCTATAAACTCAATCTAATCCCAATTCAAATCCCAGTGACTATTTTGTAGATACCAGAAAACTGATTCTGAACTTTCTTTGGGAAGGCAAAAGACCAAGATAATACTGATGAGTAAGAATCCAGTTGGAGGACTCTACCACCCAATTCCAAAACTTACTATAAATCTGAAGTAATCCACACAGTGTGGTGTTGGTGAAAGAACAGATACGTGCATCAGTGGTATATAATAGATGACCCAGAAATAGATCCACGGCAATGTACTGAAGTGGTATTTGGCAAAGAAATAAAGATAATTCAATGGATAAAGGACAGCCTTTCTCAAGAAACAGTACTGGAACAAATGCATATCCACTTGAAAAGATTAAAAAAAGAACCTACACACAAACCTTATACTTTTCAAAAAAAAATCAATATGAATCATAGACCTAAATGTAAAATGCA